GCAAATGCAGCCGGGACCAACGGCTTAACATGCCTTCCGAAGCACGGAGTAGCTCGAGATAATAATTTTTTGGTCACCCATCCCGTGACCGACCCTTGCGAAAGTTGCTTAACGACAACGATCGCGGGCCGCGGCGCTTATCCACTACGCCACCGAGCTACTACTCAGCATGTACACGGATTTTAATATTACGTTCGTTAGTGTACCTAAACCATATCCACATTTCATTCTCTCTTTTTTAGGGTTCCGTACCCGAATCGTAAAAACCGTTGACAACCGATTTTAGTCAATATAGAGTTGTTTACCATTATTACATTGATCATGAAAATATTCTATTAATTATACTAAAATGTACACAAATTCACTGATTGCAACTTTACCCTGTTTATTTACCCGACTATGACGAGCCAAAAGGAGGGTTATGATTTTGGAACGGTATTTAAATATGTAAGAACGGTCATCTGTTCCTTTATAAGTTTGAAACCACTCATCTCAACCAGATATCATAAGAAGTCTCTTAGTTGTCCGGGGGCTATGTGACGTTACATTAAATTGGCAACGGCGTCCTCTAGAGAGCATAGAGTAAAAAACTAGAAAAAATATATATGTTATATTGAATATTATTCAATAATTACATATAGAGTATTAAATGAAAGGGCTGAGTTGGCATATTTCAAATATATATATATAAATTATTTTTAAATAAATTAATAATTATTTTTTGACAACCATAGACAAAAGTTTACCATTCAATCCATTTATCGAAATGTTAATTATGTACGAATTACATAACAACACTTTCCAAAATCCAAAATTAACCACCATACCTTTTAATACTAATATTTATCAATGTTCTTTTTTTTATTGTTGCACGACAAAGTTACTATAATATACCTGGACGGAAGTGACATTACAGTCGAATAATAGTCGCAGCTGTCAGAAGTCGAAGCTACTCCTGGTAGCGACCACTATTTTTCCGGTCTATTAAAGAGCCTTTTCACACCTTATTTGAAGCACCCAATACGTGGGATGGGAGACTGTTCCACATTTCCACAGCATAGCCCTGTCACGTTTTCGAATTATTAAAACCCTTATTATCGAAGTAGGTTTTATTTAATAAAACTTCTATGTTCCAAACGTCGAGTTCGACGCTTTTTTTAAAATAACAGAATAGAACAACGATATGCTCTATTAATTACTAGAGGAAAGTATCCAAATATAAAATATAACATGGAATAGTATAATTCCTTCCTAAATTATTCTACATAGACAAGAATAATCAACTTTGAAATAGCCAAGCAAGCCCGCAAGTAGATATCAGATTTGCTGAACCTGTTGAAAATTTATTCTAATTCATTCTAAGAAGAATTAGAATAAATTCTAAGAGCAATTTGAGAAGGAATTTCGGTATTCTACATTAGGGATTCTATTTGATATTAGGTTACGGTGACCAAAAATGATTAACGAGTTTATTTTTTTTTATTTCATCATCCCGCGCTGGCAATAAAAGTCGACTCTCGTAATGAGTTTTGTGTTGTCTAAAGCTCTGCTCTATCTCTATGGAATAAGCACTTGATTATAATGTTTATATAAGTAGTTCACCTCCGTTTCGGCATAATATTTGAACAATAAGTTTAGTAATAGTTAATTGAAGTTTAGAATAATATTCTGAATTTGTACCTATAAGACAGAGATTTGTGGTGAGGTGTTCATTCACCTTCAAATTCGTATAAATTATACATAGGAAACGCGAATCTCGATTTCATGAATACATATGTAAAACATAAAAGTTAAACCTTAAATCTCCACTTAACTTTATTAAGATTCATTGTGAATGCATAACATAATAATTAGAACACATTTCCACCTTAATTGAAAGTTTAAAATATTTGCAAAAAATATTTATTCCGGCTATTTGATTCGATTGCCTGAACATTGATGAAAATACGCCCTGTATTAGCGAAAAAGTAACAAGTGCTTGATATATTCGCCACTTCTGTTGGATCTTGGGTAGCTCAATGGTTGAATATCAACAAACACACTTCTTGCTATATTATCACCAGAGGTCGGAATTGGCTAGAGTTATTTATGTACTTGCATCGAAATATTGATATTAATGTGGACCTTCCCGAGATTTCTTTATTTCTTTCTTTCATTGATGTAAGTTTGGCAACGTCGTGCGTGCAGTAGTTTAAATTGTGTAAAAGTAAATAACTTTTTGTTTAAAAAATCACGGGATTTTTTCTGCTCTTTAAAATTAATCTCGGGATTTGAGGCATGAAATGAAAAATGAAATGAAAATGAATGATGAATGAAATGAAACTTCTTCTTTCGCTGTATGAAATCAGTGTAAGTACATGAATAACTCTACCTAATTCCGACCACTGATTATCACAGAACAAAGAAATACAAAAATCTGTCGAGATCATGAACAATAAATACGAGCAATTATTATTGAAAATTAAACAACTAGAACAACACAATGCTGATTATAAGAATCGAATAACTATACTTGAAAATAAAATTAACCCTATTGAAGCAAACTCTCACTGTAGCACATTGGAGAACCGTAACATACCAAAACAAAAGGACGAATCCAAAGACGTCCTCATGGATATTATAAATAAACTCATTTCGTCGCTAGGCATCGAAAATTCTATACGTTAAACTGAATTTAAAGATATATACCGGACAAAATCAGAGAACCACATTCTATATATGTCTCTGAATACCTTTAGAGTAAATCGAAACATTTGTTCTATATAGCAAAAGGTTATGTCCGAAATAAAATATTCGATGCCGCCTGGACTTAATTTGGGAAGGTGTATCTAAAGAAGCAGATAAACTCACCTACTGTACTTGGCTGTGAAGAAGCTGACTTACTTAACCTTGCTTTGTGACTATTGAAAGTTATGTTTTCTTTTTTCCTTATTTTAGTTACTTCATTACTTCCTTTTTTTCGAGAAGATATTTTCTATCGTGGCATGTTAACAATTATTTTTGTTAACTAACAACATAATGTTTTCTTTTACATATTTAATATATTTATACAGAAACCATAAGCATATATTTTAAACATATTTTTACGACTTAGGGTTCGGGATAAAAATTAACGCCAATTAAGTTCACAATCCGATTATTTTTAGCACAATAAAATTACAAAAATAATGCAATTGCAAAATTCATACTTCAACTTCACTATTTCATCTCTCTAATAACACTTCACAGCACTATTAGATTGTTCACCGCTCTAGTTATCGTTTGAGTTCCGTTCGCTCTTACTTTCAGATCGCTTCCTCACTGAATAATCCCAGGGCGGGTAGTCCAAGTTGACGAGATAATGCTACCGTCGTCAGATTTCTTGCCCAATAGACAGATCTCTCGAGAACACTTTGGAGCTTTTGTTCCGCTCAATTGCCTTTTTAATATGTTCCGTATTAAATCGGCGAAGGTCGCTTGTCTCAAGAACTTTGATATCTGCCTATTTAGCAGCCGATAACGACTTGCATCCATAGAGTTTTGCAGCCTTATTTCGTATCTCATTTGCAAGAATTGGCGTGTGTTATCAGAGTTTATTTTTGTTCTGGGACGGTGTGTTTTTAAGAACTTGAACCCGTAAGGTCAGAACCCCTTTTGCTGCCAAAGCTGCTAAAGGGGCTCTGAAGCTCGAATTGATAACTTTCCGGGTTTCCAGACTCATTCATTTCCGGTTTAATGGCTTCCTAAAGAAGGAGTTCATCATGTAGAGATATTTCTTTGAATGAATTCTTGAATGAACCCAATACCACCTAGGGACTGTTGATCATCCTCCCAGTGGTATAGCAAGTTACCGGAATCAAGGATTATCGAGTCCTCCCTCTCTCGTCTGACTTCAGATAACGCGAATATGTTGTTACATTCTTCCAACTCCGTTAGTTTCGCTTCAATCCTCAATGTTCGCATGTTATACGCCTGGTCGCCAGGTCAAGTCGTCGTAGATGATAGCCGAATCTTACACGGGAATTCTTCACAGCTCTTGCCCTACCGTTACCGTAGTCGCTAATGTAACTGCCGGGGACTAGGGGCCGATAAATTTTTGCATTTTGCCTTTATTGCATTTATTGCCGATAAACACACACCCATGCACGCAGACACACGTGCGCGGCACGCCCATTCATAGATTACTCTATTTACATACAAATATTCTTCGAAAAAATGGCGATATAAATGAACTGTATTCTCATTCATGTTTGAATCTATATTTAAATTTTCTCTAGTCTCTTACAAAATTATGATACAAAATCTATTTAGAATTTTGAGACTCACATGTATATGATTTTGGGTTAAGAGAATAAATGATTAGTATTATTATTACTCGTATAATATTTTAAGCAGTCGCCCGGATTGCGAAACGTTGTGGGTTTGAGTCGTCCCATGTAGGGATGACAGGGACTGGTGAATATTTAAGCACTTTTTAATCAAAGATATCACACTTGATTTTTAATCTTTAAGTAGACTAAGAAATTGATTATTAAAATTACACACAATTTTATAGTCTGGTGTGCCGCTATAACACATGCAACCTTTAATCAAGTCTGCGATTTATATTTTATAGACACAACATAAAATATCCAATGGCGCCTCTGCCATCTTTTATATCTCCCCCAAATGCCGACCAACCAACAAAGGTTCCAGAAATATGTTTCATTTTAAATGATAATAAACACCTTCTGGACACATAAACGCCTATAAAAGTAGATATTCCTAGAACAAAAATGGTTATTTTTATTTAAGTCAAACTCAACTATATACTATATTTTATTAACATCATAAAGAGAAAAGATTTGCTTATTTGTTTGCCTACTAATAGGCTCTGCAACTAATAGACCGATTAAAAAAATATTTCACTAACGGGAAGTTACATCGTACTCAAATGAAATTGGCTATAATTTACGCAAGCTATGTTGTGAGAAAGCAGCTAGTAAAAATTATATTAAATGTGCTCCCTATTTTTATTTCAGATCACCTCTGCACTGTACCTAGGATTGGGCCAGAAATATTGGGGGAAACTGGCCACTCTAGCTAATCTATCAGATATGTTGATGCTTCTCAACTACGTCCTCAATCCTATACTTTACGTTCTTATGAGACAACGGCGCACCATCTATCATACCATAGCGCATTGCTTCAAAGGGGTAAGTTATATATACATACACGAAGAACATTCTCATTTCATTCTATAAGGGTTGACGTTGAGATAGGGTAGCTTTAAGTGTGCGCACAAAGGTACAGCTTGAGACATGTCCAGATATGGCTGGATGCACTTGGGACACAATATAATAATAATGTATCAGCGTAAAGGACTCTTATCCACTCCTACAAAATAATTGCTTAATAGGTTGAGAATGACAAGTCTGATAAAAAAAAATTAAATAACTTTAAAATCGTAAAGAAGGAAGTTTTGTGTTCATTGGGTATGTATTTTTTCTGTAAGTTCATCGATTTCTATGCGAAAAAGAGTAAATCGGGTCAGTAGTAAAATGTAAAAATTATAATATTTTTACTATGCATATTTTTGAGACAATCCCGCTTATTCTTTTGCTGCATTTGTTGTCTTTTCTATTTTTTGCTTGTGTTTTAAGTATTGTTTAAATCTCTGGTGGTTCCGAATAGCCACATAAGGACTGAATGTCTGACGTTCTAACTACCTATAGAGAGTAAAGCTACATTTTATTTTAATGGCAATAAATAAAAAACGCATCCTATTTTTGGTTAATAATGAAACGACTAGTGAAAGTAACAGTTTAGATCTTGAGATTAGATAGATTGATAATCCTTCTCTGATTCGTTCAAGGCTGCTTTATTCCACGCTATAAACTACTAAGAGCTACGCAGAGCTTTAGGTCAATACAAGCAAGATTATGCATCAAAAGCACGCTTGGCACACGTTAAATACACACCATAATTCACAGCTTAAATCTACACCGCGGCCTTTAGAATGTAATAATAATACTATATATTATATATCCGTAGTCTAATCAGGTCATTAATACTATAAATCTGGCCTTAAATTACTGTGGTCTTATCAGTTTGATATCAGATTGATCGTTTGATGTGTTGATTGGTGTCAGATTGAAATGAATCACACATTATTCAGATAATTTCATTTATGTCATCAATCTGCAACTTTGATCTGATCACGATTCATTTTGATCACCTAATGTCCGGCAATACTTATCGCAACCTGTTGCTTCAGCTGAGTGTGTCATTGTTGTTAACAGAGCCATAAAACGTCAACCGAGTCGATGACGTTGAAGAACTCGTGTTGCCCCCAGGAGACGTTCGTGGTGAGCGACAGTTCTGGGGCCGAGATGAAACCTCTGCGGAGTCTACCACCGCCCCCGTACAACAACACGCCGCTCGTTAAGATCGAAGACTGACGCGGGGGGAGATGCGTCATGCGTGGTAGAAGGTCGACAGTAATCAATGTACCACCGGTATCGAAATAACGAACGATCCGTGAACTCGACTTGAGCACGTGGGTTTAGTTCTAATGTACTGCTCAATTCTACGATATATAAACTGACTAGTTGTTCATAGTATAACATGACGAAATCGAGAAACTTTGTCTACATGCAAATGTCACATTTCACGGGTTATTGGTAATGTGAGCATGACAAACTCAATAATGAAAATGAAAATGAAAATGAATTTATTGCGACATTACCAGAACATATTAATGAAACAATAATATTCACTGTCTTCTATTATTGCCATAACCCGTTTAGTTTCTCGATCTACAACCGATTTTCTTCCGTCATGCTTTGCGTGTTGGTTATATACACAATACAAAACTGACAAAGTTAGTATAATCTATTTTGACAGTAAAATCTATTTCGGAAAATCATTTTGTTTATTTAACCTTTTGTATCGTTGTGTGTCTTTTTAGGAAGTCCAATTAAACAATTGAAAATTAGGGAATGTTTTAAAAAATTGAGTAACTTTCAAACCTTAATAAAACTAATTTCTTCGTCTATTTCTACATCATTATGTTAATAATACAATAACAAAAATGTAATACTAGTGGGAAAACGAAAGTAATATATTTTTATAGTCAAATAAAATAAACTTTATTAGTCATCGTAGAAATGAGCAGCAGGACCACAAAAAGTATCTTGTGGCACATCTGTTTTATAATCTTTGTCGACCACTCTGTGGCAATGTAATCTATGATATTTTGTATTTTGTAAGTGGCACTTCAACATCAAATAGTCTGAAAGTAAACTCATAACTGTGAACACGTTTATTTACCGATCCTTCGTATAAATAGAGTCAGATAGTAAACTTCATTTCGGTAAAGTGGTGACCCCGACGTGATCCAATCGCGCACCCAAAAATATAATTTATTCGTAAAAAAACAAATAATATAAAACAGATGTGCCACAACCTAATCTAACGTGCATCAAGATCTGAAGTTCAACTGCTTTTATTGTATTTCCTTTTTATATAAGATCCTACATAAAAGCAATTTGTATTTTAAGAACGAGACCATTTTATAGAAAAAAAAAAAACATTTTTCGCAAGTTTTAATTTTCGTTCGTGTTGAAAGATAAATTTGACCGCTTGAACTTATGGATAATAAAGAACTTGGATGACAAACCTCTTTAAGTAAATTAAGCAATCCCCTCGTGTTATGGACTCAATTGTCTTGACAAAAACTTTGGCCCGACATAATGTTCAGAATCGGAGGATGAAACTGAAATGTGGCCAGGGGAATTTTTTATTCAAATGCAACCCTCATTTCAGTTTCAGCTCGATTATTTTGTCTACAAAATCTATGGTCCAGGAAAATAATAGAAAAAAAATAGCTTGTTTTTTAAATAATATTTTATTTGTCAATGTTTATTTATAGTTAATTTTTATAATATGTGGGATCTTATTTAAAACAGTAAACTCCGTCCACTAGTCAAATTGTTAAAATATACCAAATAATTACACAATAATTTCGAATTTTGTATATAAGTCATAATTGATGATGAGAAATTATATTCCGCTGAAAAACTATAACATATAAAATCACTTCATTAAATTTATCTTTTTAAATAAAAATAATGAAAGTGACTTATGTGTAAGTACTTAAGTACATTAGTGTAAATAATATAATACATAGTGTAGAAAACAATATCTAGTTGTAAGTGCTCTGCAGTGCTACAGAGCGATTCAGTAAAAATCTGAACCCGAATTAGGATTCACGTCATTTAGAAAAGAAATCCTATTGATTCCATTTTAGTATTAAAACACAAAACCTTATTAATTATATGTGTCTCAGATATTCTATTCCTATTCGGATATGGATTTTTACAGAAACGCTGTTCTGTTATTATAACAGCCACGAACTCGTCGTCAAGCGCAGCGCTTTCAGAGAATAGAGGTTTAATGAATTAAAACCTATTTCAAATGGTGATAAAGTTTGATTTAATAGAAGCAATTGCTGTCATAACTTTGCGCGCGTTAAATACGAAGCTGTTTTTAATGGAATTGGATAGCTGATATTTTTTTTACAAATAATATTTTTTTACCTACTAGCCAGACTACTAAATGATTAAGAAATCATATGCATAATATTATTAAAGTGCAAAATCTTTTATAAAATAGATACATTACTCATAGTTTAAAAATGAAATGAGCTTTAAAATAATTTAACAATTTTTCACAATAAATTAGTAATAAAGTAAGTTTACTTGTTAATCGTATAAGTAATGCACTAAACAATTATTTCAGAATCCTACAATGTATTTATTAATATTTTAGGCCGACATTTATCTACTATAAATAAAAAAAAAAATCTATAAATATTTTCGTATTTTATTATTACATATATATTTACTATGAGAATAATGTGTGTGAGATTTCAAACCATTTTCTGCCATTACAGGGCACTTCAAAATGTATAACAACTTCTTAAAATTTATACCGTAATTAAATTGAATCTAATTAATAAAATACATTGATCTTAAAATACATGAAAATTCTATAAAACCTAAATTTATAAGCTCTTTTTTTAATTTTTATTTAAAATAAAACTATAGGATTTTGGCAATAAAAGGGAAGTATTGTTAAACCAACGGTTATAAATAAGAAACGGACTGTTATGTCTTTTTCATTTTGATTCTAAATAAGTAATTTCATTAAAGGAATAATCGCTTTCCATTGCAATAGAAATATTAGAAGGTAGGTAGTAATTTGGTAGTAATGAAAATAAGTTTCGTTAAGTAAAACATTTGGTATTATTTTCTTTAGCGACTTAAATCAGGTTACAATTTGGCGCCCAAACTTTTGCCAAGTCGACTAAAGGCCAGCACGTCCCCACGCTATCTTCTTATTAACACTGTTGACTTAACATAGCGTTTATGGGATAACTATTGCAGGGTTTGATCTTGATGAGGAATGTATACGTGGCCCCAATATTAATAGCATGCATTACCAGGGAAGTCAATTTATTCTGATACTCGATGAAGTCATCGATTGATTGATCAATCGCTAAAGAGATAATAAATAAGCATAGAATATTAATGCAAATAGATTATATTTATTTTTATAAAACTCATTTCTATTGGCTTTATTTAGTGATTAGAGGAAAATAAAACCAATAAATCATTTTTCAAATACCGTTTTTGTTTTTGGAACACTTAACATGGAAGTTAGTTGTCAAATACGCCAAATGTGCAACACAAAGAGAATAGCATAATTTTCTTGCAAATAGTCAAAATGAAGAGCAATTTTCAAATAAAATTTAGGCGGGAAAGCGACGAAATGATATTTGGAAAAGAAAATAGCGGAGCGATGTTCTCACAGTCATATAACTATACTTGTTTGTATCTATGATGTATTATCACGAGGAACATATTTATTTAGTACCTGTAATTAAAATATATAGGTGATTCGATTAGCTTCAGACCTTTTCTGTAAATTGTAAAGAAAAACAATTGACAAAGAAGTACATACGTTACTAGACATAAGTATATTTTTATATTGATAAATATTTTTAATGAAAAATACTTTGTGATTAGAGCAGTCACCCGGATATCGAAAGGTCGTGGGTTCTAGTCCCATCTCGGGGCTGGTGGATTTTTAAGCATTTTTCATTAAAAATATAAAATATTTTTATATTATATTTTGTACCAATATATTTTTAATATAGTCTATATTCTTTATTAGTAGTTAATATCCCATAATGGCATTTTAAAGAAAATTTTATATAAGAGTACTGTTTTTAAATGTTACTTTTCATTCCTAATGTTTGTAAATGAAATTTTCTGTTACTTTCTTGTATTCGGCTGACTTTGGCCCCTCGCCCACGGCGACTTTTTGTAGCGATACAGTCGCGCGTTCGCTAAACGCGCGACTGCATCTTTTCTAACGCGTGTTAGTCGCATTTGCAACGCGTTACTAACGCACTACTGCATCGCGATTGTATCGATATAAATGCGCGAGACCGCGTCGCGCTACTAACGCACTACTGCATCGCGATCGGGACTCACGTCTTCCTGAGTATTCGAATAAGATTGCAAAAAGAAAGGCATGGGAAGAGATAAATGAATTATTCAATGCAGAATTTGGAGAAAAAACCAATAAAGAAAAGAATGATTGTGGTAAGTTATTTATTTAACTTTAGTATTGGAGCCTCCGCACACACAAAATGTGTTACAATGTACTTGAGTCGGACTTCGCATATACCGTACTTTATCATTAAAAACGCAGATGAGTGTTGAGTATGATAAGATGTTCTAGAATGAGTAAATCAGAAAACAAAAATCAAATAACAACAACTGATGACCATCTGGTCATCAGTTGTTATGACCATCTGGTCATAATAACAACAACTGATGACCATCTGGTCATCAGTTGTTGTGATTCGATTAGACAACAACTGATGACCATCTGGTCATCAGTTGTTGTTATATGATTTTTCTAAAGATTTTTGTGTCGTATCTGCATCGCGACCGAATCGCGTTTGCATCGCGACCGAACCGCGTTTGCATTGCGACTGAATCTGGTCCCGTGGGCGCGGGCACACAGCTAGCGACTGCTTCGCGTCTGTATCGATGCTACGCGCGAGAGCATCGCGACTGCATCGCTACAAAAAGTCGCCGTGGGCGAGGGGCCTAAAGATACAATTTTAAGTACACACTACATCATAAGTAGAAAAGCTGATATTGAATAACTGAGTCACTGAATCTTACCACACCTGCAAGTTAGAGATGTATGTTACTTTGCATACACTACTCGAATCGAATACTTAACCAAAGAATCGATTTATTGATTCAAGTGCTAATGTGAAGTACTAGTCGTTAATTATCAATGATTTAACATAATTATGTGTAATAATGTTGGTTAAGATTAACGACAGCAAAGCCAGGGTCGATCTCATTATTATTTAGATGATATTTTTTTTATTTCTATATTAACTAAGACAGACAGAATTTATAATATTTTATATACATCTTTAAGTAAGTTAAATTGATTTTTAAAACTTTAATTGAATATCTAAAATTGATGATATCGACCCAAAATATTGATAATTGTTGTATAAGTAATTAATGTACATACATGAAAATATGGCAAAAAAATAGGTAAATAAATACCTTTGAATAAAAAAATACTACATTGATTTTTTTTTACTATTACGTACTCTGTTCTCTGACTATAATTTTAGCCCTACAATATGATGCCGAGCCAACTCTATTGTGCAAAAAGGGCTTGTTTAACGTTATTCTGTAGTCCTATGTAATCAAAGAAATTTAATTAAAGCTCCTGAATCCTATAATATTATCAGTTTACTTCAATTATGTTTAGTTTTTATTTATTTATTGATTAAGATACACCAGAGACAACAACATGACACAATTCATATAAAGATAATGGACTAGTTTTAATGAAGTGCCTTTATATAGCATTTAAAAATAATTAAGAAAAAGACGAGAGATTAACAACAGAAATAAAAATTGGTCAAATCTAAAATAAAAAATAATAATAAAATCAAAACATACGTAGCCGGGATGATAAATAGCTATCCTAACCCATATTTTGTATAATAACGATATAAAATCTCCTTAGTATTTTACTCACTGATTCATTAGCTGCCAGTGTTCCAAATTTCAAATCGATCGTATAGTTTTTCATTTAAATATTGACATTTCAAAAAGCATTCTATTGTTTTTTCTGCAAATTGGATAAAATTGAGCTACGAGCTGTGATAAAGTTTTTGCATTTAAAAGGATTAAAAGGTGGAGAAATTTTTTCGGAGATTGATGCAGTTTTAGCTGAGATAACTGATACTGTAGGCATCTCTAAAGAACGGGCGCATTACATTTTGACTCAAGAATTATGTATGAAAAAATTATCCGCAAGGTGGATGCTGCAATTGCTTACAGTTGACCAAAAACACGTTCGTATGCAAATTTCACAAGAATGTTTGGACCGCTTTAAGAGCAATGCAACTGATTTTCTGCGACAGTTTGTTACTACAGACGAGACTAGGGTTCACCACTATATACCTGAATCAAAAATTCAGTCTAAACAATGGACGGAATACGGATCCCCGGCTCCAAAGAAAGCAAAAGTCGTGAAATCAGCGGGAAAAGTCATGGCGTCTGTATTTTGGGATTCGAAGGGTATATTGATGATTAATTACCTTCCAAAAGGACAAAACATAAATGGCGAATATTATGCTGATCTACTGGATAAATTACAAGTGTGTATTCGTGAAAAAAGACCCGGCCTGGCTAAAAACAAAATAATTTTTCATCAGGAAAATGCGCGCGTTCACACGTGCATCACTGCGATGGCGAAATTCAGAGAATTAAATTATGATTTGCTACCACACCCAGCTTATTCTCCTGATCTGGCACCATCTGACTTTCATCTATTCCCTAAGCTCAAAAATATTTTAGGTGGACAAAGATTTGAAAATAATAGCGAGGTGATGTCTGCCGTGGACAGTTATTTTGAAGGGCTTGAAGAAAACCACTTCAGGGATGGCATCAAGGCTTTAGAACATAGATGGATGAAGTGCATAGCGCTTCAAGGAGACTATGTCGAAAAATAAATATACTTTTAACACACTAATTCAAGCTTTTCTATGCTAGGCTAGCTATTTATCATCCCGCCCTCGTACCAATATAATATAAATAATTCTAAAAGAGCATATAAATTATTCCAAACTATTTATTAAAATAAATCAAATTTAAGAAGTAGCAATAAATTATATATATGGTATATTAATAAACATTACACGATTCTAATCAAAAACAGAAGAAAGTATTACTACACACTTCTTTTTGAATCTAATTTCAGAGTCACTGAGTGAA